CTTGCAGTAGTTTTTAGCATTCAGTGAGTGGTGAACCTGGTTGTTGTCAAACCTGCATCTATTCAGGGCTGCCCCGAGTCGCCCGGCCACTTGCTGTAACAACTTCATGGTGAGTTCTAGCACCATTTTTCTTGGAAAAAAGCACTGGTCTCACTGCATACCCAACTAACCACTGCACTCCGCAGGTGAGGGCCTCCTGCAGATACCGTCTTATCAAAAGATTGATGCCACACAATGTAGGAATCTGGCTTTTAGTATCATGACAACCACCTCTTGTTAAATATTAGACAGACGCCTGCTGAAGACCTTCCTCTTCCAACAGGCCTTTTAAGCAGAGGACTTTCCCAGCCTGTAGCCTCGTTGGAACTGTTTGCAAAGGTGTTTGAACTGTTTTCTTGTTTGTGTGTTTGCCACCCTGGGCTCCTCGGGGAAGGAGGGTGGGATATAAATTGAATAAATAATAAATTGAATATCTAGTAAAAGGAAGGAGAGTAGGTGCTGGAGGGCCCTTGAAATTGCTCATCAACAGCACCTCAAGAGCTGAGCAAGCAGGCACACACGTTGCTTTATCATAGCTTTTTCCACCATGTTGAGAATTGTATTTCCAAACCCTCCAACATGCTGAGTCCCAAAACTGGGATGCACATCTTTCTGTCCATGCTCCTGTGTGATTCACATGACCCGCATGAGATCACGGAGCCCAAAATACACACTTTTTCAGGGCCGTGCTTTCACACCGCCTAAAAATGTATGTTTGGGGGCACGGTGCGAGGTTGCGGCCCCGAAAAAAGTGCTAGTTCTAACGATGTTGGACTTACAAGACAGCGTTCCAACTCATCACTATCTGTAGCTGATGCTTCTTCAATTAACATCCACCTTAGCTAGGTAAGACCTGTGTCTACTTGGTGGTCTGATCAACCATCCAGTGTATTTTAAGATTTGAATGTGTATAAGCATATCTTCTCTATTGTTAATGAGCAGCCTGTGAGCTGATGTTGCTTTCAAATTTTTAGAAACAAACAAACAAACAGCACAGTTCTGCAATCAGTGAAGTTTTTAAGGTCCAGTCTGCCATTTTGATTCAAAATGGCACCCAACTGTATCAAAACATAGATGAAAACTGGCTCCTCGATCTCAGGAACCATCACACAAAATTTTGCTGCAATATCTTAAGAAGTGTCTGAATGCATAGCAAACTGACAAACAACTTTTCAAAATTTGCTAATTTACTGGTGTTAGGGATGCATGTCCCAATAACATTTTATGTTGTAATAAAGCATTCAAAATGATTTCTGAGTCGTCTTTCTTGACTCAATTAAGCTATCTCCACTGGTCTCATGGACAATTAAAAACATATCAAACTAAGTAAAAAGCTGTCCAGGTTAACAGTATTTGCACTTGTTGTAATGAGTAAACAAAATAAATTGGAAAGGAAAGAGAGATGGAAAGATCTGCAAGTTTGAAACTGGACCACCAGAAACCCTATGTTAAAATGAAATCTACAAGTCTTTGGGGTTTCTAGGGAGGTCTGGAAATACCATGGCAATTATTGAGCATGTGTAAAATAAAATAAAAATCAATGGAAAGGAGGCTCATTATTTCTTTGGAACGATGAACCGCAAGATCACATCCTTGAGCCAGGTGACCCCATCAAGATAAAAAGTGAGGCAGCTGCTCTCAGTGGAAGATTTCAGAGTGGTGGTTCTCATACACAAACACTTAACTCAGAGCAGGCTAGGATTACATACTGAATGGGCAAGAGTTCAACGAGGGCATCCATCTGGGTGCCTGTCTCGGATGTCAGGATATTCAGTTCCTTGGTACAGACATACTGTACTGGGTCAGATCTTGGCTTATCTGGGTGTATTCCATATGGTGGTAGCTATAAAGGGGCTTCTCTTACCCTATTGCCTGTGATACCTGGGAGTGAACATGGCACCTTCTGAACATAGTTAAGAGCCTGGCAGCTGGATCCTCCCAAAGACCCATCTAGTCCTGCATCCTGTTCTCACAGTGGCCAAAGGGATGCCCCAATGGGAAGCCCACCAGCAGCACATAAATGCAACAGCAACTCTCCCCATTTGTGATTCCCAGCAACTGGTATTCAGAGGCGCATCACTGCCCCCAACAGTGGCGAGAGAATATCACCATCAGGCTTAGTGTCCACTGATAGCCTTATATTCCATGACTTTGTCTAATCCTCCTTTAAAGCCATCCCAGTTGGTTAGCCATCAATGCCTCTTGTTGGAGCAAACTTCACAGTCCCAAGTACATGCTGTGTGAAGAAAGTGCTTCTTTTTGTTGCCTGTCCCCTGGTTCTGGTATTATGAGGTTTGGGGGTAGAGAAACCTTCTCCCAATCCACTTTCTTCATACCATGTGTAATCTTAAAACCCCTCTCTATTTTATACACCTTCTGCATGCAAAGCAGTGGCTCTGCCACTAAGCTGCAACCTCTCAAACTTGCCTGGGAGTCTCTTCCCTCCATAGCTCAGGGGTTTTGCAAGAAGAAGATCCCTGGTTCAATCCCCGGCATCTTAAAATTATAAGGCACAACAGAGTGGGGGCAGAGTTCAAGATTCATAACTCACATTGCCGAATGCTCCCTCATATCCTAAGAGCAATATTCCCAGTACATTAAAAAACCTAGCAGATCAGGGAGGAAGCTAGGCTTACAACCCTTTTCCTTGGTGTACTGGGTTTCTCTTTGCGAGGATTTAGCTCCATTTGTAGAGCATCTCTGCACTGGAGAGCTGCTGCCAGTCAGTGTAGACAGAACTGAGCAAGACGGACCAAGGATTTGAGACAGCATAAGGCAGCTTCTTATGTTTCTTCTCCCTAATCTGAGCGACTTGCATCACCTTGACTCCAACTGGACCTAAACGCTTTCAGCAAAATGCTTTGGTCGAGGTCAGAGAGACTTGGGACTTTGGCCTAGTGTTAAGGCTAATCCAGCAGTATTCTTCCACAGCTTCCTAGGGAGGGGCTGCACTGAAACCCCGGAACAATTTAAAATAAAATAAAGGGTGGTTTATTTTGTGGGGTGGGGGAAGGAGAGGAGGGGGTCTGAAAGGCTCTCTCAAGGCAACTGAGCCACCCAAAATGGGAATGTGATGTAGCAGGAAGGGGGACGGGAGTTGCTGCCATTTTCCAGAATGGAAAGGACAGGGAGAAGAAAGAGAAAACATGTGGTTCTTAACTTGCATACTGTTTAATCTGGGGTTGGGATCCTCGGGTTTGAAGGCCAAATGCGGCCCTCTAACCCTATCTGGCCCTTGGAATTCTCTTCACGCCACACCCCATCTCCAGCTCTGCTTCAAACACCCTTGAGTGTTTTTGCTTGGCTGAAATATGCCTCTGAACTCTGGCGATACCTTGTACTTGTCTGGAAGGAGGCAGGGCCATAGCTGGGGGTGGCGAGGTGGGCCCTGCCAGGGGCACCAGGCAATGGAGCGGGCGCAAAACCGACTAAAAATGTCCATAAATATCGATTATTGCCTCATAAGAAATGGTTTTAAATAGAGGGTGAATTGAATGGGTGGAAGAGGGGGTGGAGGAGAGGCGGAAAGAGCTAAATTGTCCGTGGCTAGGGGGTGCAATCTGGAAGGTTCTCCCAGAGGCGCAAGATCACCTAGCTACAGCTCTGGATGGAGGACAGAGAGGGGAGCATGCCTGAAGAAGCTAGCCTGTTGTACAAAGCTAACTTCTACATTAATTGCTCCAGCCATTTTTGCCTCTGGCCCCAGTCACCACTGCCGTGTGGCCCTTAGAAAGATGTGCAGAAGGGAATGCGTCCCTGGGCCTGAAAAAAGGGTTCCCCACCCCTGTGCTAAACCAACAAGGTTAGATTGCTTGACAGACGACCCAGGTTCAAATCCTCCACTCAGTCATGAAACTTACTGGGTGGTCTTGGGCTGGTCTCTCCTTCCCTTCCTCTCACCACCTAACCTACCTCACAGGGGCGTTGTGAAGCTAAAAAGAGACTTGGGGGGGCTGTTTGCTGCTGGGAGCACCTACAAGACCCCTGTCTACTATTTTATGATTTCTTTGAGAAGTGGCAGGAAAAATCCTTATAATTAATTAATAATACTATCAAATTGGGTTTCCTATATATGTTAAGAGAGGAAAAAGAGGGTCGGGTGATTAAAAATGGACCCAACATGAAATCCATTGGACAGAGGCCCACAAGGTTATTATTTCGCAAGCCATAAAATGGCTTGAACAAGAGGCTTAATCAACTGCCTCCCCCTGAGCATGCACAGAGTGCCACACTTCTGAGAGCGGGGGGGGGGGCTTTATTCTATCGTCATTGCTTTTAGAAATTAATGCAAAAGAACAGGGTGGGGAGCAGAAGGGGAGGCTGTGCTGAGAATGAGAAACGCAAGATTAGCAGGGGTTAGCTAGTAGGCTTCAAAAGCTACTTTCGGAAGCGGCAGACAGTTACCTTGTCTCCCCTCCTTCTCTAGCTCTCTCCTTCCCAGCCGCATGTCCGGAGTCTCACCGCCGCCCAGCTCCCCTTTCCACACGGCAGCCATCTTGATGCCACTAAGACCAACATGTTTCCATGGCAACCAGAGCGGCCAAGGAAGCTTCTGCTCAAGCGGGAAAACAAGACTTGGCAGTGGCTGGTGGGACCACACCGAAATGGAAGAAGACGGGAGACAATTGTCAACTTTGGCTGGGCCCCTCTCCCCACAACACTTGGGGAGGGGGGGCAGACAGAAATTCAGCAGGTGAAATGATCATGGAACGGGAAGGCAGTGACAGGGAATGGGGGGCACATGAACTTTACTGTTCAGTGTCTATCACATTTCCTCAGAGATAGGGAATCTCAGGCCCAAGGGCCAAGTGTGGCCCTCCAGGCCTCTCTGTCTGGCCCTCAGAACTCTCCCCATGCCATACCTCACCAGCCCCATTTCCCATCATGAAGGTGTCTGCCTGGCGGGAATGCAGCCTTGAACTCTGATAATGCCTCCTGGTTGTATGGATGGAGGATACAGATTGGTGTGTGTAGAAACTACCGTACTTTACTCTAACAAAAGTCAGGTTTACATTCATTGTTCCTTTCACTTTTGCCTCTGCCCCCCCCCACTGCAGGTGGCCCTCAGAAGGCTGCCCAGAAGGAAATGTGGCCCTTGAGCTGAAAAACGGTTCCCCTCCCTTGCTCTCCCTGTTAAAAAGCACAGGAGCCTCTCCAGAAATAAAGGTGGCAACTCTACAAAGGAGAAATTCAATGATCTCCAGTTAAGGCAGGATGAGTTCCTGGAGATCAAACAAGCAGCCATCACAACCACCATAATTCTTGCTACCAAGACACAAGCACACATTTCCCACCCCCCTCTGTCATCCCAAAGATTACAGAGAAAAATGTACTGTGAATGCAGCTGGGGTGTGTTGGGAGGTACGAAAAAACCCTGCAAAAATCAGGTTGGTGCTTTCTAGATTTTTAAAAAACAAGCTAATCAACTCAGGATCCAGGGCAACTCTGTGCAATCTCAGTCTCTCTTTCTCTCTCTCTCTCTCTCCAGATGAGCTTCCATTTACCCCAAAACATCATGCATCAATTGTCTTTTTCAAAGCACAGAAGGGCTAAGAAGCCATTTAAGAGCTGCTTCTAGGCCTGGGATCTGTCGGCCGGATGTGGCCAGTCCATCTTTCTCCATCTGCACAACAGCCCAGGATGCAGGACGGGCCCTCTCCTGCGCCTTTTCCCTCTAGCAGTGCTGTGCCTCACAGCTTGCGATAGGCGCCAACAGTGATATCAAAAAGCTTTGTGTTGGTGATCCGTCCCTGTTTGTCCAACAGGAAATAGAAGGCTCTCCCCTTAACCTTGAGTGGCATCATCGCCGGCACCTCCGTACGATGGGACATGCAGGAAACATGGCGAAGAGGGACCGTGAAGGACGAGGTCCAGCCCAAGGGGTAATAGGTGGTAAAGGTCACCTCCTGCCCACCTCGGTGCAGCAAGATCCGGCTCACAGAGCGTCGGGAAAAGACAAAACCTGCCGCCAAGATCAGAGAACCTGCAAAGGAACAGAGCAGGATGTCAAGTCGAGCTGAGATAACCAAGTGGTCAGGCTACTGCAATGCCTGATAAATCCTAAGGCTGCCTTGGGAGATGGTTCAGAAATGGCAGGTGGTTCAGAATTCAGTTGCTGGGTTTCTGACTAGGAAATTTAATCATCATGTACTAGCGCTTCGCCAATGCACATGCTCCTACTCTGGTTTTGGACCCGATTCAAAGACATTGTGACCTTCAAAGACCTTCATGGCCCAGGTGCTTCTGCCAGCTGAGCTGTGACAGACCTATGTCAAGGAAAGGCCTGTTTTGTGGTAGCAGCCACCCTGTGCAATTTCCCACAGAAACTGGACTTGCGCCTGCTTTGATACATTTGGGTGCCTGTGTCAACCTGGTGCCTTAATGGATGTTTCAGACTACGCCTGCCCCAGTCATGGATGTTGGATCTGATCCTTGGTCCTGGTTATAAGCCTGAGTTGGGCAGGGAGTGCCTTATTTTTATTGGGTTGTATCCGTGTTAATTCTACTCAGAGTAGACCCCATGAAACAAAGGAGCATGGCTGAGGCCTCATCTGCACCTTATATTTAAAGCAATATTATGCCACCTTAACAGTCATGGCTTCCTCCAAAGAATTCCAGGGCCTGCCATTTGTTAGTGGTGCTGACAGTTGTTAGGAGACCCCTATTCCCCACCACAGAGTTACACTTTCCAGAGTGGCTTAACAATCAATCCTTCTTTCCAGGAAACTCTGGGAATCGTAGTTCTGTGGGGGAAATGACAGGGGAGGTTTCCTAACAACTCTCAGTACTGTTAACAACTACAGTTCCTGTTTAAAGTGGTAATAATACTGCTCTAAATGTATAGTGCAGATAGGGGCCTTAAAAAGGTAAAGGTAAAGGTACCCCTGCCCGTACGGGCCAGTCTTGCCAGACTCTAGGGTTGTGCGCTCATCTCACTCTATAGGCCGGGAGCCAGCGCTGTCCGCAGACACTTCCGGGTCACGTGGCCAGCGTGACAAGCTGCACCTGGCGAGCCAGCGCAGCACACGGAACGCCTTTTACCTTCCCGCTGGTAAGCGGTCCCTATTTATCTACTTGCACCCGAAGGTGCTTTCGAACTGCTAGGTTGGCAGGCGCTGGGACCGAGCAACGGGAGCGCACCCCACCGCAGGGATTCGAACCGCCGACCATGCGATCAGCAAGTCCTAGGCACTGAGGTTTTACCCACAGCGCCACCCGCATCCCTAGATAGGGGCCTTACTTAGATAAATTAATTTCGATGGATCTATTTGGGGGTAGAACTTGGCTGGCTACAACCCATGGATCTGCAACCCACAATATTACGTTTGGATACATTTTCCTGCTGTGCCCCACATACTATCTGCCACCAACAAGAAGCAAACCTACAATTTCATGAAAGTAAGATTGCAATTTATATTGTAAACTTCTCGAGGTTATGAGTTCAAGCCCCATGCTGGCCAAAACGATTCCTGCATTGCAGGGGGTTGGAATAGAATAGATGACTCTCGTGGTCCTTTCCAATTCCACAATTCTATAAGAACGAAGAGCAACCAATGCTAATAAGTAACCCCGGAGGAGGAGCGGGCAGCGCAATCCAGCCCTTCCTTACCCACGGTCAGGCAAGACGCAGTGAAACCGAAGCGCCACTTGTTGGAGCTCAACTGTATCGTGGCTCCTCCCGGTAGAGTTGGCAGAGGGCGCTCCCCATGCTGGGGATCCGGCTCTGGCCGGCTCGCCCTAACATCCCGCAAGCCGTGGAAAGCGAAGTGTGCCAGATACGCCCAGAACACGAACTGGCCGGCGCAGAACAGCCCGAGAATACGGAAAAAACGGCCTCGATCGTGCTGGAAAAGCAAGACATCCCGGGGCACATTAGTATCCAACGGGAAGGCGGTCTGCACGCCCCGGGCGCCCCATCGCCGAGGCAGCTCCGCGCCGGGAGCCCTTTGCGCGCCCCAGCTCCAAAAGCGCACAGGACCCGTTGGGCCCCAGAGCCTCCAAACCCCGCAGCTTCCAGCTCCCCCACCTGCCAGCCCCCCGATCCGCAGCCCTGCTCGCCATGTGCAGTGCAACATTCTTGAACCGCTTTTGCCAAGGTCAGCTGCAGCCCAAGAGGCTCATGGGAATTGTAGTATTTCTCCCCTCCCTTTTCTTTTTAACCCACTTCCCCTTCTCTACAGTCATAGGCGGATGCTCGTTTCGGGCGCCATCTTTGGGGAGGGCAGCCTTAGCTTCCGGTCAGTTACCAAAACTGGCAAGGCTGAGGAAGTGCACGATACCTTGAAAGCACATACTTTCCCTTAGAGAATTGTCAAATTGTGAAGAGTGCAGTTTGTGGAGCGCCAGGAGCTGCAACAATCATTTTAAAAAAGAGACTACATGTGTTGTGTAAGAGGATAGGTGACAAAGATGGAGAGGGATCTAGACTCTAAGAGGAAAGGTTGAATAAATTAGGTCTGTCCACCTGGATGACAGATTAAGACAGGGGTTGCAAAGACGCCTGCTTCTTGGGAGAAGGGCAATGACAGGCCTAGACAGCATCTTGAGAAGTAGAGATGTCACCTTGCCAACAAAGGTCCGTATAGTTAAAGCCATGGTCTTCCCAGTAGTGATGTATGGAAGTGAGAGCTGGACCATAAAGAAGGCCGATCACCGAAGAATTGATGCTTTTGAATTATGGTGCTGGAGAAGACTCATGAGAGTCCCATGGACGGCAAGAAGATCAAATGCATCCATTCTTAAGGAAATCAGACCTGAGTGCTCACTGGAAGGACAGATCGTGAAGCTGAGGCTAAAATACTTTGGCCACCTCATGAGAAGAGAAGACTCCCTGGAGAAGACACTGATGCTGGGAAAGATGGAGGGCACAAGGAGAAGGGGGCGACAGAGGACGAGATGGTTGGATAGCGTTTTTGAGGTTACCAGCATGAGTTTGACCAAACTGCGGGAGGTAGTGGAGGACAGAGGTGCCTGGCGTGCTCTGGTCCATGGGGTCACGAAGAGTCGGACACGACTAAACGACTAAACAACAACAACTGCAACCCGCGGCTCCGGAGTCGCATGTGGCTCTTTTACACCTTTGCCGTGGCTCCAGGGCGGATACTAGCAAGGGGAGGAGGCGCATTGTGCGCCCCGACACTCCCCACTGTGCGGGTGCTGTACTGGCTGTGACGTCGTATGGGGGCGGTGCGTGCGTTAGTCACGCACCGTCCCGACGTCACCTTCCCGCCCGCTGTCAGATCGGACATTAAGGTAAGAAACAATATATGCAGTGTTATATTTGTTCTAAATGTCGCAATGGTTTTGCGGCTCCCAGTTTTTTTTTCTTCAGAAACGGGTCCAAGTGGCTCTTTTTGTCTTAAAGGTTGCAGACCCCTGGATTAAGAGTTGTTGAAACCTGAAGAGCTATTGTAGAGGCCAGGGTGAGTAAAGAGGTAGTCTACATTCACTACTCCTGGCATAAATCACAGAGCCAATTTATTTTCTGTTGCTCAGAGTGTAGGACCCAAACTGACAGGTTCGAATTACAAAAGGATTGGGGGGGGATTGTATATAAATTTTGTTTAAAAAATGAATATTTATTTTTTTTTAAGGATTTAGACTAAAAGTGCATAGCTATCTATCAGGATTGTTGTAGCAGTGGATTCCCTGCACTGATAAAGGGTTTGGACTTGAGTCCCAACTAATTCTGGTCACCTAAGCACAATTCAGTGTTGGATAACACCCTTCTCCATCACAGTCTTAAAAAATAAAGCTTCGTCCAAGACTCCTGGGTCACTGAGTGATGTCTCTGTATGTAACACGGAGCAGGGGATCTTGCAGATCTCCAGGGCTGCAAGAGGAGCCATCTTCCACAGGGAAGAAATTAATGATAACATAACCTTGCTCTCCTTTTCAGAGAAAGCAGGATAAACTCAGGTCAGGAGGCCAAAGCATTAGGACCTCCCTACACACTTCTTTTTAAAGTACAATGGTACCTCAGGTTACATATGCTTCAGAGGTTACAGATTTAGCTAACCCAGAAATAGTGCTTCAGGTTAAGAACTTTGCTTCAGGATGAGAACAGAAATCATGCTCTGGCGGCGCGGCAGCAGCGGGAGGCCCCATTAGCTAAAGTGGTGCTTCAGGTTAAGAACAGTTTCAGGTTAAGAATGGACCTCTGGAACGAATTAAGTACTTAACCCAAGGTACCACTGTAATAGAAGATTGTGAAAGATGGGAAGGTATGCTTATTTACATAATTTGTACATTTGACAGAACTTCCACAAGTATAAGTCGTGCATGACAAAAACGGGGGGGGGGGGAATCCACATAGTAAAAGGAAGTGATCTTATCTCTAGTTTAAAACACCATCACATGAATGCGCACCATGGTTTTAATAACAATTTTACTAAACACAGTGTTTTCAAGAACTACAGGCAGAAAAGAAACACGGAAGCTACAGCTTGCTAGGTGTGCAGACCCCAAAGCTTCCTCTCATTTAAGCAGTGAGTGACAGCAAATCCGACGTCCTGCAAGGGCTGTGCTTCAGAGGCCATCCATCCATATGGGGTCTCACATACCTAAAGTCCTCTAAAGCAACCTAGAACTAGGAAACCCACTCTCTCTCTGGCACCATCAGGATGATCAATTGTGCCTCAAAGGACACAGGGTGGGTGCTGCTGCCGCCTCTGCCTTTTGCAGGTTGGAGGTTTACCATTCCCCCTGCCCTCTAGGGATATAACCCTTGTTGCATGTTGGGAACTACTGACTACTACTTACTCTAGGCACATACAAGACTCAACTCCCAAGTCGGTAGCAGCAGCGGCGGGGGGGGGAATGCTAAAAATCAGCTTTTCAAATTAAAAGGGAGGTGGGAGAACCCAAAAACGATCCAAGTGCCTTTCCTCCAAATTTCCACGGTCGTCAGTGTCTGTTAGAAAATCAGTGTACACAGCAATTCTTCACGCCATCTGCCGCTGCAGGCAGGAGGTGCTGCCTCTTCCACAAGGGCCTGTTTTCACTGCTTTTGCCCACAGTCCAATGGCAACACGGACAGGTGCAGCCTTCACAGTCACAACAGGGTAGGAGTCTCTTTAATTTACATAGTGAAACTTTCATTTATTTACAAAACAAGAACCCAAAGGATAAAACGCTGCTTGGCTGGCTTTGGTAAGGGCAATGGTGGCAAACGCTCAGTTGATGAACGCCACTTCTGGGATCTTCCCCTCAGCCTAGAAAAGGAAGAGTAAGAAGTTAACAGCAACCACCTCTCCTCCATGTCTGGTTCTAACAAGGAGACAAACAAACATGAAGTCGTCAGCAGAACCCAGGGGTTTTCCCCAGGCTCACAGGGTTGTGATAAAAAAGTTTTCCCAAATCCGGACTTGACTCCTCTTCCAAAGGTCAGTTAAGAGGCCAGTAAGGGGACAAAATATTCTGAGGACAGTCACCCGTCCAAAGGCAAAGTCTGCTACATATCAGCTTCTCATTACTGCACTGTGGATGAAAAGCAAAAGAGCAGAAACCAACAGCAATGGTTTCTGGATTCTCTCGCTTCAAATAACTCTGAATACACACATCAAGGCATATTACATAGGGGATGGCTTTCCTTGCAAACTTCCTCTGGGGGGAAACATGACCCTCAAATACGGCACATCAGACCCTGAGAATGAAGGAAAAGCCACCCAGGCTTCTCCCCTGTAACAGAACTGCAGTGCAGTGCAAATCCATCCCAGCCATCACTTTCTGTCTCCAGTTCTTAAGCCTGGCAGCAGGTTCTGGTGGTCTCACTCTAGAAAGGCACTAGGGCACTCACCTTGAGCTGGGTAAAAACCTGGGCTGCATGAGCGTAGTTCCAATCATTGTCCAAGAGGCACCTGGGCAAGGGTAGGGGGAGATGATAAAGCAATGAGGCAGCAGCCTAACCTAATCTCATTTTTCCTCCCTGCCCCCCACCCTGATCTCAAGACCATCTCCCACTCCTTTTTCCCAACTGCCAGCCCCCAGCAACTCCAGACTCACTTCTGAGACCACTCAAGATTCATGCCCGACTGCAGTGAGAAATTCTGCAGCATTTCCTGCTGCTCTGCCGTGAGCGTGGGTACCGGGCTGGAGGAGGGCGTGGGCGCTGGCATGACGAAAGCTTTGCGGATTTCCTTGTTGGTGGCCTTACGAATGAATAGCTGATCATTCACAATGCACAGCCTGCAGAGGAGGGGAAAAGAGCCAGGAGTGGTTAATGGAGGGGCTGCAAGTCTACACCCAACATAAGGAGGAAATATTGAGGGTAGAGTAGCCAGAATGCTTTCACCTTCTACCCTTTCAGTCTGAGACCTGACTATTCCTGGCCACCCCTCTGACGGCAAGCAGAGGTTAGGATCTGCTAATGCATACAACAGAACCTCCTACAGCTTGCTTGCTTGCTTGCATCTCTTGCCAAGCACTGCAGGATGCTCCCATAAATAAAGGAGCAACAGCTAGACACTATACTTGCTTCTGCCTTCACCAAGGAGAGAAGGTCACCATATTCTAACAGTAGTAAAAAGTGTGGCAAATATTAGAAGTGCATCTAGCCAATGTTCAGTAAAATGGGTCCTGAAGTCAGAGAAAAAAATGGGACACACCAGCATGATGTTTTCTTTGAACCATGCTCCCACTGTTCTTGTGGAAAGTCAACTACAGCAAAAAGGAATTGTCGCTAGATTCGACAAGTGGCAATCAACCTGTCTTGACGGCCTGGCTTTTAAAACTGTGCTGCAAGGAACCACTTTAAAATTTACTGAGAATATATATTTTGGAACACTGTAACTGTTAAGTAAGGCATGACTAACCTGTCACCCCCCCCCCCGCTTCTAAACATTAACGTGCTTTCTGAAAATGCCAAAATCAATGCTAGCCGCACATCTTTTGCAAGAATTGTGACACAGGAAGCTGCCTCACACCAAGTCAGACTGTTGGGTCTAGCTCAGTATTGCCTGCACTGACTTGCTTTACTGCACTGACAGCAGCTCTCCAGGGTTTCAGGTGAGAGTTTTTCCCAGCCCTACCTGGAGATACTGGGACTAAGTCTAGGACCTTCTGCATGCAAAGCAGATGCTTTAGCACTGAGCTAGGGCCCTTCCCCAACCAGCGCCAGGCTGTCCCCTAGAAATTATGCTCCTCTATCAGCTGTCCAATCCCCCAATGCCTCCAGCACATGGGCTA